TCTTTTTTCCTTTTTTTTCTCCTCCCCATCTCCCCATGGTGATTAATGTCTGTTATTGTTACGATTTTTTGTTTCTGTATCCCCCCCCCCCTTTTTTTATTTTTATTTTTATAATCACGGTACTCGGACGGGTGAGTTCGGAGCGGCCACACTCTTTACTCTTGAATTTAATATAAAATAAAGTTGCCCTCTAAAGAGGTGGTGGTGGTGGGCAATAACAAGTAAAAAGTATAGTGTTCCTAATAAAATGCTCAGTGATTGTACTTTACTATAACTTCTCAGTAGGATTATGTTCATTTAAAAATAATCATGGGAATCGGTGTGTATGCCAAGGAGATCATCCCAATCCAAGAACTAGGTCTCAATTAGGGCAAACACGCATATCACTCAAAAAATGGTAAGGTTATTCAACGTCAATGATGACGTGAAGAGGATGAACCGTCCCCACAACACAGAGACCTGTACTCATATCTTTGTGGGAACCGTCTATTTATTTGTATGGGCAAAACCCTAATCTCAACAATGACAATCTTAACCCCTAACCAGCCCTAATCTCAACTATAAGTAACCAAACAAAACACAAATCTGTTGGCATTTTAAAGTTTTTTGATTACAGTCACAGATTTTTTTTAAATAAAAATCGTCCCCACAACGTAAAAGTAACAGATTTTTTTATCACATCGAGGGGACATCTGAACCTAGAGCAAGATTCAAACCACATAAGTGTGAGTCCACATTGATACCCAATTAAGCAGAATAAATTACAAAATATTATATTTAATCATTGCTAAAGCTGAGAACTCCTTTAACTACTTTTATCCAGAAAGGTGCCTAGATGGCAGTATTGCGTCTATGGCAGTCAGTACGCGTACAAACTCGTACTGAACCCGAACCTGACCACTCTTCTAAGGTAAACGAGCTTGTAAACATTTTTATTGTAATAAAACATGATATGATGATAGGGAGAACTATTCCCCGAGGTGTCGATGAGGACATTTTACTTGGGTATGCCGGAAGTGCTGGTATGACGCGCCTTTGGAAGTGTCCCAGTGTGGCTCCGGGTACTTAAAAGTGCATGAAAAACAAACAAAACCCAATTATTCGTCTTGGAAAAAGAAAAACGCTTTTTAAATCGATATGCAATTTATATTTTACTATCAAAGATAAAAATGCGTCGATTTGTGGATTGCAATTCATATGTGTTTCCGAGGCGTGGGGTAATTCGGAGGTGTCCTTTCTGGGTGCCCTGATCGTTTAGGGGAGGGGAGGCCGCTGTTTATCAGGAGGCGCCGGGACTCTCACGCCCGACTAGCAGCTCCAGACCCGCGGCTCCCCGGGCGCCCTCCGAGTGGGTGTGTTCTCCTTTCCCGGGATCCTGTGCGCCGATTCAGCGAAGACCTAAGATGGCGACTGCACATCTGAGGATCGGAGATCTGGTTTGGTGAGATATGGCTTCCGATCCCCCCAACACTAGATCGGCCGGTCGTTGCGGAGTCGATCCGGCGTTCGGATCGACGCCCCTGCGCGTTCGCGGCAGCGTCTTCTCCCGCTTGTTCCGCAGTCCCGGGGCTTTGTGGTGACGAACGCCGCTTTAATGGCTGGTAGGAGCACCTATAGCCGTGCAAGCTAGTTGGTTAAGCTCCCTCACGGAGGGACGGACCTGACGGCCCGTTGGTCGCTTAGCTGCCTAGCGGCAGGCCCGGCCGAGGTGCTTATCCCCGCACCGCTTCGATCTCCGGCCTCGGCAGCTTCGGAAGCCGTTTATGGGCACTTAGCTTAGCGTGCTAATCCACTACGGCGTCTCGGAGACCAGGACTCGCCGCCCGACTGCGTTCACTTTCGTGGGCTGGAAATGTACATTTCCGCATAATAAATTCAGTCACTTCATGGGTTAAACCGGCTATATGTCGCTAAATGAAAATAACTTATTAGTGACATGGTGATAGCGTAGTGAAAACGCTGATTTTACACGGGCCCTCGCGTATTGAGGAGGCTAGATAGTCAGCTAAATTAGATTTATATCGGTAACCAGCCTGCGAAGGGGTCGGGGGTTAAGTAAAGGTTTACAAAATAAACCCTTTTTCTGGATAAAGCTTAAAGTAAACGAGGTAGTGGCGTTCGGGTATGGTAGTTTGTTAGCAAGACCAGTCCTAGTTTACTAGTATCACTGAATGGTGGGGGTTGGTTATCTGGATACTGAGCCGCTTGATTACGTGTTAACTACCTAACCCCCCTCTTTTTAGGGGAAAGCTGGGACGGTATCCACCCTGGCCTGGTAAGGTAAGTGTTTAACTGTTATAATTGGGTGGGCTAGTTAATACCAACGTGTACTGATCCTGACGGAGCTTGCAGCCCCGTATTCACCAAGCCCCTTATGTGGGGTCAGACTAACAGCCTCGTCTCCTTTCAGATCGTAAGTCCTCCTAAGGATCTGAAGAAGCCACGGGGCAAGAAATGTTTCTTTGTGAAGTTTTTTGGCACTGAAGATCAGTGAGTATCGTAATAAGTCGTCTTGCTTCTACGGCTGTGTCCTGACGTGTATGCCCCCCACCCCCACCTGACGCCCCTGTGTCTTTTCAAGCGCGTGGATAAAGGTGGAACAGCTGAAGCCCTATCACCCCCACAAGGAGGAGATGATCAAGATAAACAAAGGGAAGAGGTTTCAGCAGGCTGTGGACGCAGTCGAGGAGTTCCTGAAGAAAGCCAAGGGCAAGGATCAGGTAGGGTGGTCATCTTGTTGGAATGTTCTCCAATGTTCTAACTGTGCGTGTGGTCTGACTGGTTCATGCAGTTTACCAGTGTAGTGCCTGTACATTTACTGCATTTTCTCTGATTTCCCAATATTCTGTTTAGGCATCGCACAGCTCCAACAGCTCTGAAGAAAAGAAATTAGCAGCTGACGTAAAGGGCAGAAAAAATCCCGGCAGGCCTGTGAAATTGATCATAGACGAAGACGAAGATGACCTAAATTCACACAGGGGGGTCTGCTTACAGAAAGACAAGGTTTGTGATTGAATAGTGTCCTCAGCTCCCGCTGCTAGCGCTTAGCGGCCAGAGCCCTCCTAAAATCCCTCACTGAAGGTTCATAAAATAGTTTAGTGTGCCATTTGTCCACCAGTGATGTCAGAATCATCAACCATTTGCTGGTGTCCTAGACGGCCTATTCTGTGTTGCCACTTTGACCATTTGAATGGCTTTACTTGCTGTTTGCTGGCGTTAATTATGTGCTACCTGCTGCACAAGTATGTAGGTGCGTGACACAGAGACTTTGTCAGTGATTACAAGGTCCTTTTTTTTCCCTTCTCCCTTAAGGAATTAACTGATTCTGACCCTGAACCGTCCTCTGTTCGGCTGGGCACTGGAACAGTGACAGGATTCAAATGGGAGAGCAGTGTAGGTTTTTATTCAGTTTATCATTGCTTTATAAGCAGTGATGTGTGTGTGTGTGTGAGAGAGAGAGAGAGAGAGAGAAACTTTGTAGACACAGGAAGCATCATTTTTTCCCCCCCCTCCTTCTCCCCTATCAACATGGAGAACCTCTTCCAGTGTCTTTACCTCTCAGGGTGACTTGCTTTTGCCTAATCTTTAGGTTTTTGGTGAGGGTGCTTGATCAATAACATTTTTATACATAATCTCTAGTTCCTTTCAAGCTTCAGTCTCACTGTAGGCCCCCCTCCCCATTGCGTCAGCAAGTCCCTTTTTTTAGAGAATCGTTTTCAATTGAACTCTCTTCCCGTTGTAGCCGGTAAAGGATGATCCACATTTCCATCACTTTCTGCTCAGCCAGTCTGAGAAGGTAAGCAGATGCCAGTGGCTGTCTGCGCCTTGCTATCCAGATTGCGCCCCAGACCCCGCCAGCACGCAGATCTGGTCGCTTCCAAAACCGCGTGTTTAGAATGATTGTGGCCTGTTCCTGCACTACTCCCCTCACGGTGCAGATTTAAGTGTAAACACCGCCCATCCCCAGCTTTGTTGCTGACTCTCTTACTGGTGTAACAGTTGTACTTCTGTGGGCATATGTTCCTAATGTCCATCAGCTCATGCCCCATAGTGCTTTGGTAAACATGGTTTTCGCGAATGGACGGCTTTCATCCCAGTCCTGGAGAGCTGCTGTGCCTGAGTCTTAATGTGCTCATCAAGCACGTGAGACAGTTTGAAATGCACTGAATCAAGCTGGGTGTTGCAGTGTGTTCTATTATTTTCTCCTAGATTTGTGGTATTAGTGTTTGTTTAGTGATTAGCATAACTTCCTTTATAAAGTTTTAGGGGAAAGGTCGATTGGGTTATAAGGTTGCCTGGAACCAAACCCAGAATAGCCTGCCGCTTTCCAGCACTAGGGATGCTCCTGATTCTGCTTTTGGGGGAACCGTTCAAAACTGATTTCTGTCTCTACAGCCGGGTTCTTCGCTGGAACCGATTAGCAAAAGGCTGAAGATCATTGAGGAGGTAAGCTCCTAATTAACCCTGTATGTTCAATGGAAGAGGTCTGCACTTGATTCAGCTTGATGACATGTATATATTGATGAGTTCAAGCCATGGGGCATAATATTGACCCTATTATGTCAGTGAGGTGCTGGTTTGTATATTGGGGTTCAATGGGAGCTCTTAGAAAATGGAAGTTGAGAAGAGAAAATGCTCTGCATCCCTTTTTCAGCGAAAGCTTTCTATTCCTCCTGGTCTCTTAGCTGAAGTTGTGCAGTAATTGTTGGAGGTCTTTGTGTGAGGCCCTGTGTAAGGCATCTTGCCTGTTCTCCTGGGTTATGTGCAGATTTCCTCCGAGTTCTGTTTTCTGCCTGTGGTCCAGAACGTGTGGGTTTAGGCAAAATGACATCTCCAAATTGCCTGGAAAAGTACCCAGTTATGTAGTGAGAGAATACAAATACTCTATTCATGCTGTGTGCTTAAATTACTGTTTTGTCCTCTTTACTAAACACATGCATATACGGTTTAGGTGACAGAAAAATACATACATTAAAATTCTAGCATTAAGTCACATTGAACCACTGTTATAATGGGGCCATGTTGGAGGAATTGTCCTGTTCAGTCAAATGAACTATAAATGGACCATTAATTAGCGTGTGAAATATTTCCCGTTCTAAATATAAAGGTTGCCTATCCAGCTCCTTAGGATTACGGATGTATTTTCAGGACAGATCTTCGTTCAGTGTCAGACTAAGCCCCGCTGCTCACTGGTGTGTGTTTGAGCTTGTATCCTCCCCAGCACGCGAGCATTTCACTTATGCTGTCCTTCTCTTGTATAGGATACAGGCTCAACATCGATACAGGCAGCTGACAGTACAGCTATCAACGGAAGCATCATCCCCACTGACAAACGGTACGAATTCGCAACAAATGGAAATTTGGATGGCAGTAGATAAGTGGTGGTGTGCAGGCTGATTTGTTTACAGCACAATGATTCTTTGAGGTGGTGATTTTAAAATCACCATGAGATTTAACATTCATTTTTGAAATATAAGTAAATGTAAACGTCTGTTGCTGCTAATGTTTGCCCAGTTGCACACTCGTTTTAAGGGACTGACATGTGCGAGTCTCGCACAATGCAATCATGAATGAGCAAACGTGAACATTAAGGCAATCTTAAGGCAATGTCGGGGTGTCTGGGTTATTAAATCTATTACTCATTTGCACACCAAAAATATTTGTGTAAAATAAGACTGCAACATCACATGAGCTAAATCCTGTTTTCACTACTGCCCAATATGGTCACATAGCAGTACTGATTAACACCCCTTTAGCCGTGTGTGTCTGTGGTTGTTTTTTTTTTTTAATTTTTTTTTTTATTTAAAAGGCTGATTTCAATTCCCTGGCAGAAGCGCCTTAAAGCCACAGGCAGACTTGCAGAGGCTGTTTCTGCGTTGGTCTTACGCACACTCGAATGATGTCATCTGAAATTAATTAGCATGTTGGATGTGTTTCCAGCGACATGTATCCGTGTTCGGTATAACAGAACCGACACACATCCTTGGTCTTATTGACTACTGTCTTCAAGGTTGGCGGGAAACCAAAAGGTTCCCAAACGACTAGTTTAAGTGATGTGGGAGGGTCTTTGAAGTAACCAACATCATTTGTTTTAGGTTTCGCCATCTTTAAGAAATGCATTCATTTCATTGTGCGTTCCAAACTGAATATGAGTAACGGAACAGCACACGAGGAGAATTTGTACCACAACAGTGCTTGCCTTTTCTTTAAATGTAGGCCTCAGATGCTCTTCAGCAATTTTTTTTTAATCATGATGCATATTGAATCTACTAACAAATATCAGTATAATATGGAATGGGAAGGTCTCAGCAAGTTCTCGCTGCTAGTGGATAACTTTCCTCAGCCTTAAGATGTTTCGCTGGAACTGTTAGAACCGATCTCAGTGCCTTGACAGTCCTCGATGCCTGTTCCCCCTTCTGAGGTGCACACATTTTCAAACCCTGCAGGATAGGATTCCTTGGGCTTGGACTTATGGGGAGTGGAATAGTCTCCAACCTCTTGAAGATGGGTCATGTGGTCACAGTGTGGAACCGCACAGCAGAAAAGGTAAGAACTGGGCTGGGTTATTTGTTCAGTGTTATTTTAAACAATTTGATGTGTGGAGGTTTTAAAACGTATTGCTGCCACCATCTTGATGCAAGAGTGTTATTTCCTGTTTTCTGCGGTCCATATGAATCTAATTTGGTCATCCTGGTAATCAGTGTATCTCTTAAAGTGGGACTTTAGCTAGTTCATGGAGAGCATGTCATTTTCCTTGCAGTGCGACCTGTTCATCCAGGAGGGCGCCAGGTTAGGCCGAACGCCGGCCGAAGTTGTCTCAATGTGTGACATCACTTTCTCCTGTGTCTCGGACCCAAAGGCAGCCAGGGATGTAAGTATCGGGCTTCTTTCCTATTTGATGACTAGACAATGGTGCTGGATGTTGGTGTGTTTGAATGTGTCCTGTCAAAGGCATGATGGGAGTTTCCCAGCTGAGGTCTCCTAATTAGGCTTGATTTAGTCATGTCGTTCTCATCAGTGAAGCTAAAGGAGCAGTTATTTATTATTTTTTTTTAAGCTTACCAGTCCTTTGGTTAATTGTTCACTGGCTTCAGATGAGTAGCCATTAAGTTGTTGAAAATCGAAAAACATCTAACATCCACTCTCCCTGTAAATCCCTAAAAGCATTCTTAATCGGAACAGTAAAGGGTACCTGTGGCTGACTCATTTGAATAAATCTTTTGAAGTTGTAAAATGTAGTAAAATTTATTCAGCCAGCTGAGGCCTAATAAAAAGCTCAGCTGGACCTGCAGAGGGTGGGTGAGGCATGGGAGGCGCTGGGCCGTGAGACAGGGCTCCCTTCTGAGACTCGCCCCTGTTTCCAGCTTGTTTTGGGCCCCAGCGGCGTGCTCCAGGGAATCCGGCCAGGAAAGTGCTACGTGGAGATGTCCACCGTAGACCCAGAGACGATCACGGAGCTGGCTCAGGTAAGCGAGCAGCCCACTGGCCCATCTCTCAGAACGTTTACATGCACAGCTACGGTTATAGCTCAACTGCGCCATTTAATCAGACTGCTGTCCTTCTCCCAGGATAGATGCACAGGAGGGGAATAGGTTTATTGACTGAAGTATGTCCGACTCGGCTACAATAGGTGGTGATATGGCTCATTTCAATCTGTTAATATTGGGCTTTTTCCAATTGACCTATTACATCACAGATGTACAAAAATAATAAAATTAATAATAGTGGGTGTGTAGACAAATGAAGTGACACAAACTCTTAATTGCGATCTGGTCAGAAGGGTGGGTACAACAAGATCAGAATAGCATAATAAAGTATTTTGTATAATATACTGTGACAGCACGGTATTGGACATTTTTCAAATATTGCAATGTGGTTTTGCTGTAATAAATATTGGTATTTATGAAATAAAAAAAGTAACAAACGAGCCCATATAGGAGTGATTTAAACAGCAAGGATGAAAATGACTGAACATATGCAGCGCTCATGCATAAGTAGCGAAGATAAACTTTAAATTGACTTTTCAAGATCATCTAGTATATGTTTAAAAGGAATAATCCATTAAAGTTGTAAAACTTGCTGCGTTTTTTTTTGCTTCTGCATTTTTCAAATTCAATATAAATTCAAAATATCCCGCTTCAGTGATGTCATTCAGCGCCGCTATCAGTTTTTACAGCAGAGGAAAACAAACACATTGTACTGTACTGCTGGTACCTTCTTCAAGTGACAACGGTACGGTACCTGGTGCAGTAGAAAAGTGCCGTTTAGTAGAGCGGTGAATTGGACAGCTTCACAGCGCTGCACATTTTGTGCGTGCTGTATGTATTTTTTCTTTTCCACAAAGGAGATGTATGCTATTCCTTGTGGGTTTCATGTTATCTGAAGGCAGACGACACCGCCACTTGCTGCTGCCGTGTGCCAATAACGTGACCTCTGCTATGATCCGAGATGCTTCTGTTACTTCCAGGCCAAAGCCCCCGGGGGTGTGGTACCTGTGGAGCATGCGCAGAGCACTTAGGCCAGTTAGAGTCTGATTTTTAACGTATACTTGCAGGAGTAAATCGACTCCCAATCGCATTATCTGGGTGTCTTAGTCCAACTATACAATTTCAGCCAAACTAGCATGTTTACATGTACTTCAAAAGTGTGGTTTTAGTCGGACTAACACGATAATTAGATTTTCTTAGTGTACATGTAAACGTACTGTGTGTTTGGCAGCCAGCCCTAGGAATGGTACGGCCCCTAGCTTGGCATTCTTGGCGGCTTCAGGTAATCCGCAGAGGTGTCGCACGTGTTAATATTAGCTTTACGTGATCCAGGAAATGTGCTAACCCCAGGCTCGGCTTTAGTTGTTGGATGAGTGTTCTTCCAAGTGAGCCCGCAGTGCCGTCTTTCGTAAACGCCGGCGTCCTCCCTAGGTCATCACCTCGAGGGGGGGTCGTTTCCTCGAGGCCCCCGTCTCCGGAAGCCAGCAGCTGTCCAACGACGGCATGCTAGTCATCTTGGCGGCCGGAGACCGAACGGTGTACGAAGACTGCAGCAGTTGCTTCCAGGCTATGGGAAAGACGTCCTTCTTCTTGGGTAAGGAGACGAGCGGTGCCAGCCTGTGGTTGATTCCTGTTGAACGTACGTTATGCGTGATGAACGGCAGCGATCACTGTCTTCTAACAGGTGAAGCGGGCAATGCGGCGAAGATGATGCTCATCCTGAACATGGTACAGGGCAGTTTTATGGCTACAATAGCGGAAGGACTTACTCTGGCTCAAGCCACAGGCCAATCACAGCAGACATTCTTGGACATTCTTTGTCAGGGGCAGATGGCAAGCACCTTTTTGGACCAGAAATGCCAAAGTTAGTAATTCTGTTGCCGTACTTAATCATGTTCACAATTAACGGTAAGTTATTTCGGCTATCTGACCTGTGATATTCCTTTCAGATATCTTGCAGGGGAACTTCAAACCGGATTACTATTTGAAGCACATTCAGAAAGATCTTAGGTTAGCGATCGCAATGGGAGATTCAGTCAATCATCCGACCCCAATGGCAGCCGCTGCCAATGAGGTAAGCTGTACATCTTTGACTGACGTGTCTTGTAGCATATGAGAATGCTTGGCTTAACAGGAAGTCCCTCTTATTTTCCCCCTTTTCACCCTGCAGGTGTACAAGAGAGCGAAAGCATTGGACCAGTCAGACAATGATATGTCTGCAGTCTACAGAGCCTATATTCACTGAACCTGTAAGATGTATTTCGACCACTGGACCACGTCACCCCTTTCAACCCCCAGCCAACCTTCACCCAAGTTTCCTTTTGTATGAATTTGCTCAGATCATGCCTGTGTGGCATTGGTGAGATTTTTTTTTTCTTCCCCGTAGGATATGGGAACTAGCCAAATGTGAGCGTCACACTGACATTCCCGTGGTGGCATTGGGCTCCGCTTGGCATTTTGGGCTGAGGAAAGGGGGGGAGAATAATGCAGGGTGTCATTCTGACTTCCCGCCGGAGATCGGATTCCGAGTTGGTCTGGCTTGAGTTAAATTAATCTTGCATATCCTCATTTTACATTATTTAATTTTTTAAAATAAGTATCCTGAATTTCCTTAAATTATAAGCCTGTTATCAAAAAAAAAAAAAGGATAGAGATGCACCTAGAAAATACCGTAGCAATGCCTTAACGTGACCCACAATTTAATTTTTTAATTTCCATGGGCGCTAACATCTTTCGTTTTCAATTACTTTCTGGCCACTGTCCTCACGTTACAAGAGCCAGAGTAGTTTGGTCAGATTTAATTTCCGTCACTGAAATTTCAAAGCCTTAAAATAACCGCTTCGCTGCAATTTCCCCCAGGAAAAACGTACATGGTTTGTCACACATGACTGTTATTGGTTACCTTGCAGCGATTGTTGAAACAATGAATCGTAAGTGTATTGAAAGGTCACCAGTATAATTCTTTATGGGGAAAGGGTCCTTTCTGATGATGCCTATGGCTTACTTTGTTGTTATTGGCTGCTGTAACTACAGCTGTCGTTTTGTAACGAGCTATCCAGACTTTCGTTTGGTTTAATATATATATATTTTTTATTAGGGTGGTGGGAGGGACATTGTTTAATGCCCTGCAGCCCTGCCCTTGCTGTCCAGTCCAGTGTACGCCCTCTGGTATCTGACTGTAGGTTACCACACTGTTACCGTTAATTGTTAATCAGGGCCAAACATGCATGCAGGACTGCAGAAGTCCTTGCCTTACTTTTTTTTTTTTTGTTGTTTTGAGGCAGTGGGTAAATGTGGCCAAGAACAGTGTAACAAACTCAAATTGCATTGCTCACTCGGCAATAAGAGCACGAGCCTGTGCTTTTCCCCTTCCTGACAAAAAGGGGAAAAAAAAAAATATGAACAAATTTTATTTCAACCCTGTTTGTAGCACATTTCTTTTTAGCGAATAATTAGCTGGACCTTAATATAATTTAAGTATTTTAAACAATATGCGGCCTGTATGTTTAAATCCTTTTGGTTTAATTTATTCAATTTGCATGTCAATCAAGTGGCTAAGGTCTTTTATCTGTTTTAACAAATGTTTTCTTTTACCAAATATAAATGCAAACTGCTTAAGGGCAGTTTATACACAGCACTGTGTATAAAACAGTTTTTAGGATAGGAAAAAAATTGTAAATAGCCCATTTGGAGTTGTGTGGGATTACATGCTACATGGGTATATTATGGAACAATGACTAGACTGAGGTTAATTTTGTCTGTAGGTTGTTCTGTTATGTGTTGCTGTTAGTGTCTCTTTTGTTTCCCCTTCAGTTTGTTGTAAATGGTTTATGTTGCAAAAAAAAATCTGAAGAACAGTTAACAGAAGGTCCATGGTGTGTGAGGAAGCTGTTGGTGTGTTTGGGAATATTTATAATTTGGTATAGAGGTGAACATGTCAAGGATTTTTTGTGCAGTTAACTGAAGCCTCCTGATTAAAGAAACTGAAGCCCTTCTGTGTCGCTTCCCTGTGTGATAACCATGCTAGCAGAAGTGTCCTTTGTAACTGTATTGTAATATCCGAATTTTGTAAAGTTCTCTTCCTGTTTTACCAGATTGCAAAGAATTAGCGGTACCACACTGTTAGACCAGATCTAAGAGTCCTATCCGTATAATATGACTGAAAGCTTCCCTCTGATGTGTAGACGGTCCTCCTGAAATCTAGTAACATGCCTCTTTCGACAAAGCTTGATGATGTTCAACTTTATATCCATACTGCAATGTGGCCAAAATGTACATTTTTTGAAAAATTTGTTTTACCCTATATGGCATAATCTCCACCTCTCTTTCGGTTCTGGGATTCTCACGATGCTGAAAACCTCATAACCATGAAGTCAGGGGCATCTCTCCTTCTGGCTCGCAAACAAAACACGCCAATCCCCTTATGATTGTTTTTCTGATAACATATTCTAGGGGGAAGGTCAATTCGATTAAGGAGCATACTGTTGTTCTTGGGATTTACCATTTGAAGTTAAGTAGTTACGTACGAACCATTTTTCTGTATTTTTACTGAATATTAATTGGTCTAATCACAAACTGCTTCAGGAAATGAGTGCTCCTGGCAAAGCATGTAGCGTTGTAGACGTTTCTGCGCAGTTTCCTTTAATGGTGACGGTAACTATGTTACCCCCGTCACCTACACCGGAAGTGGCTCCCGAAGGCGAGGCTTCAGAGAGGGGCGGGTCTGGAGGAGCGGAGCTGATACGTTCGGATCAGGCAGCCAGGCGAAGCAGCCGGGAGAGTCGGCCGATTGTGGTGTATGGCATTGCTTCATGCTCAGAGGTCCATGTTGTCCGATCTGTCCAAAATGTCAGCGGCAAGTCAGGCCGAGAGAGGTGTTCTGGTATGGTTTTCCGTTTCCTTTTGCGGCGTACCGGGGAAGCGGCGTGAGGCGTATAGGGTGCCCGGTAACGGGAGTCACGGATGCGAGCCGCTATACAGAGGCTACCGTGCAATCGCCAAACGGTGGATTTTTAACTGATCCGAGAATTACAGGTACTGGTGTGTGTCGCTAAATGCAAAATAATTTTTAAAAAAACGGTGTTTTGTGCATTTTTACAAGGGTGCTTGTGTTAGATACAAGCCCGTTATTTACTATTCATTCCGCGAATGATTAAGCCGCGAATTATCACGAATACCTTGTTCCCGAGGCCCTTTCCTCTACTCTGTTCCTTTAGGTCGTGAATTGTATTTTGGCATGCATTAACCGTCTGTTTAATACAAATGATATTATCTGTTAATTCTGACCGGTGTGGCTGCATGCATTCCTGAAGGCCAACCATCAGTTGCATAGCTTGATTAAATGATTCAAGAACGTCATTCCACCGTCTAATGAAATAACTTAATTAAAAGAACAAGCTAACTATTTAAAAGCCCGATAACGCAGTTTGCTGTTAACACTTCTCCTGCCTCGACCCAGACGCTGTAAACACATCCATCCATTTTTTGGTAACTTATTACCTAATCAGGGTTGCAAAGGTCCAGACTCTCTTCCAGGAAGAAGACTGTGAATCGGTCCATCACATGACACCATGACCGAGAGAGTCATGCACAAAGGGCAGTGGAGGCCCCTTAATTTACCCGACGTTTGTGCTATAATTACCTGTCATTCTCAGGAGGAAGAGTTTAAATGGCTGCTGAAGGAGGAGGTCCATGCTGTACTGAAACAGCTGCAAGATATTCTGAAGGTAAGTTTCAATATTTCTACTAGAGTGTGTCTTATTTTATTGCTTTAATAGATGTGATATAGATAGGAATATCGGTGCCACTTTACAATAAGGCTACCCTTATAAAGGGATTATGAATGGTTTATAAGCAGGTAATTACTTAGGTTGTAACACTTTGTAAATCATTACTAGACAATTATAAACAGGTTATACCACAGTTTTCTTCTTATTAATGAGTTACTACCATTTATAAGTGTCAAAAGGTAGCCTTATTGTAAAGTGGTACTGTAATAAAACTATATAACTTGACATATGTGCTATGTAATTCAAATTCAGGAAATTCTTTGACAATCTATATTTAAATAAAATCCATATCCATCCTGGAATCAACAGAATAAACAATTATTCTGTCCATCCCTAGGAAGCATCGCGGCGTTTTTCAATGCCTTTGGCTGGTCTGGAGAGCCAACTGAAGCAGGAGAATTTCATTCTGGGAAGCTCAACGTAGGTGGAGTTCAACCGTACGCCTGAAACGAAAGTGTCTCCACTGAAATAAAGGAAGCTGATTATGAGAAAGACCTCGGTGTGTATGTTGATGCTTCCATGTCCCACTCTCCACAGTGTGGGGAGCAATTAAAAAGGCCAATAGGATGTTGGGTTACATCTCTAGGTGTGTGGAGTTTAAGTCAAGGGAGGTGATGCTATGATTATTCAATTCATTAATAAAATCCCACCTAGAATATTGTGTACTGGTTTGGTCACTTACCTTAAAAAAGACATTGCTGCCTTAGAAAGGGTTCAACGTAGGGCTTCGAGAATGGTTCCTGGTCTTAGAGCAATGTCTTATGAGGAGAGTTTAGCTGTTCAGCCAAATGACTATTTCAATATTAGTTCAAATACAAGAACTTGTAGCCATAGGTGGAAATTAGCAGAACATTTTAAACTGGTTTTTAGAAAGCAATTCTTTACACGTTGTGTTGTTAAAGTTTGGAATAGTCTTTCTGTTAATGTAGTCCAATTAAAACCTTGGGCTCCTTTAAATCAGATCTAGGTAAGATGTTAAGTCTGAGCTGTTAACTGAGTTCTCCCCAAATGAGCTTGATGGGCTGAATGGCCTCTTGTTTGTAAATGTATGGTCCTATGCTCTCTTATGAGACAGACACACAGGTGATGCTGGTGATAGTGAAGCCTGGGGTCCAAATGCAGCTGTTTATCCTGCACCCCAGACCCCGGAGCATTTAGTATGAATGCCTTTCGTAATATTAATTTTGGTACTTTAATTTAGGGAAAGGTCTTTTCCCAAATGAATAGGGCTCAAACAAGGTAACATGGAAACCAAGATAAGTGTTCCACTGTGCCTAACCCAGTGTTTCCCAAGCCTGTCCTTGTGAACCCACAGTCAGTCCATGTTTTTGCTCCCTCCGAGCTCCCTGGCAGACAGTCCACGTTTTGGGGGAGCTGGGAGGGAGCAAAACCGTGACCTGTCTGTGGGTCCCTGAGGACCGGATTGGGAAACTGGTCTTGAGCCACATAACTCCCAAAACAAATGTTATCAGTTTGGCTAAACGTTGAGCAAACTGGCATACTGGTGTCAGCCCAAGGTCAAGCTTTGACATTGCTCTCTGTGCCGCCGGTGTTATGATGGAGGTGCACTGTTTCTCTCATAGTGTGTATTTCCAGGATGGACCAGGTGAAAGGAGTCCTCACACTGCAGGGTGACACTCTGACACAAGCTGTAAGTGTGTGCCGTCTCTTTAAGTCATGAGCCTGGCGTCACACAGCTCCCCAGATCTCTGGCATCGCGTCTGTCCTTCTCTATTCTTATAGGATATCCATCTAAAGATGATGAGGAGCAACCAAGTCTTCCATTTTGCATTTCGGGATGACAAGCAGTGGAAAATGCAGCAGGTATGATATTTGTGTTTTCAGACACCTGGTGTTTAAAATGTTTCTTTTGAAGTTTTTATTCTGCTGTTCTCTAAAGCTAAAACATCTTGCCAAAATCGAAAGCCTGAGCATTATGGGGATTGCACAATGGAAACCACAGCTCTTTTGGAAAACTGGGGAAATAGAAGCTAAGCCACTATGTCCTCCTTATACTGGAAGTGGTCAGGCTGACTCTTCATTTTACTAACATGCCTCCCATAACATCCCAGATTCAGGACGCGAGAAACCACATAGCCCAGGCCCTGCAGCTCGTCAACAGCCGCGATGAGAGCTACTACTTTAAAAGTGGAGCTGAAGTTAACAAGGTTAGTGTGTCGTGAGGAACCTTGTAAGTATGAATTAACATGGCCAATAAACCTGTTTCATTCATCCGTCCATCTGTTCGTTCATTCGTTTGGTCATTTATTTATTCACATGGTCATTTAACCATGGTGTGTTTATTCTATATATTTACGTTGTTATGTTTATTAAGATCATTACATTTGATGTTGGCAATAGTGATAGTCGGCTTTATCCAAAATCCATGCTTGATAACCTGTCAGTGTTTTTTCCCCTGTCACTGAGGCTATATCTGTTACATTTCCATTAAAAAACATTATTCCAACATGGTGGATATGGAGGAGCTGGTTTCAGTAGTTTTCCCTGTTGCTGGTATGTATGCAGCTAAGTAGCATGAATCACAGTGTAACTGCTGCATATTTGCAGAAAAAGCAACAAATTTACTGATCACTGTGTCGATGCACACATACCTAATGTGGGCTACATCATTGATGTTTTCGCTTATTTCATTGTGTATGAAATTACTTTCGTAAATGATGAACGTGAAAACATCTGTGTGGATGGAGATTGTTTTAGTTTGAAAACTCAAGTTTTTAAACAAAAATGTAGCAATGTGGTCGCAGCCTGACACCCTAAAGCAAGTAGCAAAGCAATTCTTTGAGCAATAGGGCACAGGGTCATGCAAAATTCAGAATTAATGAATTGTGCCCAATTACATTTATGAATTGGGATTTGAATTGGCAGCACCCTATAGGATGTTGAATTGGAATTTGAATTAGAATGACAGGAAGAAGAATTTAATTTAATTTCTTTGACTTTAAATTAATGAAATGCAAACGGAACACAGGAATGTCATTAAACCTAGCAAGCAATAAGTACAGATGCTCCTCCACTTACGAACCTTCAATTTATGAACTTTAATAGTTATAGTAATACTATAACTTTATAGTTTACTATAACTTTAATAGTTATAGTAAAATAGTAATAATTTTTAGCTTTAATAGTAAAAATATGTTACAGCTCATAAGACTATGAATTATAACTTTTTAAAAATTACTTGTGGTGTATAAAAGGAGCCAAATCTCAGTGATTTGTCAGCTGTGGAATGTATGTGTAATTCACATGCCAAATTTAGTCAAAATCAAAAATGGCGACACAAAGGCTGTTTGTTGAAATAAAATGAAATGACCAAGTATTTTTGATTTGCAGTAGTACCTGTAAGGTTTGAGTCCAGTGTGAAATGAATCACATCCTGTTGTTAAATAACTATGCTTCTTTTTTAAAGTTAAAGGCAAATCAAAGGAAACATGTCAAAAAGAATTACTTTATTTTGTGTAGTTGCTCCTGTTTTTTATGCGTAGAACAATGTTTTGCTGTTATAGCTAGCAATAAGTAAAATATTATTGTTGATACACATGACATTGTTCAGCATTGTTATATTTAATCAGCAAAAGATCTTCAAAGGTTTTATCATTTTTAGATTGGAATGTTCTGGCCGGAAAATCTTTCCTGCTACACTGAAGACTCTCCAGGTAGAAAGAGAGAGCTGGTATAGCGAGAGATTTGCAGGCAAGTTGTGCAAAGCCCAGCACAGCTGATTTGGTTTCCTTTCCAGTCGACCAAAGGGTCGGCATCCTCTGCTAAACATTGTTGACTCAGGCAAATAGTGACATGTGAAGCTTTGGTGACAGGTGAGGGACTAGTTTAACTTTCATTATAGCCAGCAAACAAACAAACAAACAAATTTATTTTTGTATAGCGCATTATCACAACATTACATTGTCCCAAAGCGCTTTACAGCATCCCCACCCAAAGCCCCCAGTGAGTAAGCCATAGGCGACAGTGGCAAGGAAAAACTCCCTAGAAGGAAGAAACCTTGGGAGGGACCAGACTCAAAGGGGGAGCCCATCCTCCAGGGGCCGGCAGAGGGAACCCTAACCCTAATCAGACTCAAAGGGGGAGCCCATCCTCCAGGGGCCGGCAGGGAGAGTCAGATACAGTTAAATCTGAAACACAAACGGGGAGCAGGGGGGAGATGACAAGCCGGTGCCACCACTCCCTCCAATCGCCAGGCAACCAGAAGGCAGGGAGCGGGTCATACAAGGAAGATGACACGGGCAGAACGGCGAGCTGGATGCACGGACGTCATTGGTAGTGGCGACGTCACATGTTGCAGGGTGTGCTGGACATCTTGATAGATTGAGGTCTCCAGGCAGCACCCCCCAGGAGAAGTAGGGGAAATAAATGCAATTAGTCAAAGTACTGAACACCACTCAGGTTCAGATCAGGGAGGCCGTTCCTCCCAATCACCCCCCTCCAGGCCACACTCATTGCCAAATAACTAATGATTTAAAAATTAAGCAAGAGTATCTAAGTCTACAGGTTGAGTTAAAAAATAACATTAGACTCTCCAAGAGGAATGTAGAAAGAAAAATTGCATTGGAGTTTCTTCCAGTATTTTAACTTCAAAATAGCTCTAAAAGCTCAAATCACTAATTTGCAGGATAGTAAGGGCCTTATAATTGAAAATTAAATTGATATAGTAAATGAGTTTAATGATTATTTTACACGGGTGTTCATAGTAGTGAACATGAGTAGCTTACCACCATTTAGTATGAATAAAGCGTCGTCTATGATCAATATATGTATAACTGAGGCTGATGTGGTACTAAGTCTAGCTAAGCTCAAAATAAATAAATCGCAGGGCCCTGATGGCATCTTCCCAATAGTTTTAGAAGGGATGAGGGATATTATTAGCCAACCTTTAACTTTAATATTCGAGAAATCGTTATCTGCGGGTGTGGTACCTTCAGATTGGAAGCATGCTAATATAACACCCATATTCAAAAAAGGGAACAGAAGTAATCCAGCAAACTATAGGCCAATCAGTTTAACTAGCATTACTGGAAAAATAATGGAAGCTATAATTCAAGTGAAAATGGTTGATTACCTGGATGCAAATAACATTGAGGGATAGCCAACATGTATTTTGAAGAGGTAGATCCTGTTTAACGAATCTACTTGAGTTCTTTGAGGAAGCTACAAGTGAAATTGATCACAAAAAGGCCTACGATGTGATCTACTTAGATTTCCAGAAGGCCTTTGATGTTGCCCCCCACAAATGGCTCTTTCTTAAGCTCAAAGCTGCAGGGATTTTAGGAACTGTGGCAGCTTGGATCAAGAACTGGTTAACTGACAGGAAGCAGCGAGTAGTTATTAGAGGCACAATGTCACAGTGGGCCTGCGTTCATAGTGGGGTACCGCAGGGTTCAATTTTAGGACCACTATTGTTCCTAATTTACATTGATGATATTGACACCAATACATACAGTAAACTGGATGTAAATTTGCAGACGACACCAAGGTGGGTGGTGTAGCAAATACTGATCTAGCAGCAGAAAGGGATTTGGATTTAATTAGCGACTGGGCTGATACTTGGCAGGTGAAATTTAACACAGATAAATGTAAGGTAATCCATGCAGGGAGCAGAAATATAAAGTACAGATATTTTATGGGTTCCACTGAAATAAAGGTAGCTGATTACGAGAAAGATCTCGGTGTGTATGTTGATGCTTCCATGTCCCACTCTCACCAGTGTGGGGAAGCAATAAAAAAGGCCAATAGAATGTTGGGTTACATCTCTAGGTGTGTGGAGTGTAAGTCAAGGGAGGTGATGTTACATTTATACAATTCCTTGGTAAGACCCCACCTAGAATATTGTGTGCAGGTTTGGTCACAATACCTTACGACGGACATTGCTGCCTTAGAAAAGGTGCAACGGAGGGCTACGAGAATGATTCCTGGTCTTAGTGGAATGTCTTATGAGGAGATGATAGCTGAGCTGAATCTGTTTAGCCTTGAGCAAAGGAGACTAAGGGGGGACATGATCCAGGTATATAAGATTCTAACAGGTCTGGATGCTGTTCAGCCAAATGGCTATTTCAATATTAGTTTAAATACTAGAACTCATGGCCGTAAGTGGAAATTAGCGGGAGAAAATTTTAAAATAAATCTGAGGAAGCACTTCTTTACTCAGCATGTAGTTATAGTATGAAATAGTCTTCCTGCTTGTGTAGTGCAAACTAAACCCTGGGTTCCTGTAAATCAGAGCTAGATAAGATTTTAACAACTCTGAGCTATTAGTTAAGTTCTCCTCAAACGAGCTTGATGGGCCGAATGGCCTCCTCTCGTTTGTAAATTTATGTTCTTATGTAAATATGTTGTTTATTTGTATTAAAATATTAAGCTGTATTGTAATTATTTGACTTTAATTCCATGTTAATTCTACTTCCTTAAATTCAAAATTGAATTGCCACAGTGCAAATTCAGTTGAAATGCACAAATTGAATTGTAATCACAGGGCTGTTCTCAATCCAATTCTGAATGGTGCACAACCCTGATTTTAGGTCAGGGGACTCGCTCAGATGCCCAAGAATGAAATCAGTCTGGTATTTGAACCAGCGACTATCCGTCCGCAGGCACAGTGTTCAAACTCGCTTAAGCCACACATTTCCTAAATGAGGGAAAAAAAAACGGCTTTTATTAAATTTGTTTTTGAGAAATGTCAGGTCTTCTCAACTCTTTACTTTCCTTTTCATTTATAATGACTCTGTGTTAATTATCCCTGACTGTTCTCCTTGTGAAAGGCATGCTTCCGTGTGGTAATGCCTCTTGCTAATGTGTCGCAGCTGATGGACGCCGTGATGCTGCAGTTAACCAGGGCTCGCAATCGGCTGACGACCCCCGCCACGATGACGCTCCCAGAGTTAGCATGCAGCGGCCTCATGGTAACAACCCCCCCCTCCCCCAAATTTACAAAGATCTTCCTGCATTAGTCCACCGCACACAGTGTTTCACTCTTCCCCGTACTGCAGAAAATGTTCTCCCCTCCGATGCCAGGAGACGTAATGGTGAACTTCTACATCAATCTCAGCAAGCTGTGTCTGACTGTGTACCAGCTGCATGTCCTGCAGCCCAACACCACCAAGGTAGGCAGTACAGGGCTGTTCGCACCTCGTAACGTCTGGTATCTAAGAGCATAGAATAATAGAATATCTTTATTGTCATTGTATATGTACCCTGAACTCTTTATATTTCTGCACTACATATCATAAACAAAATGATGCAACATAGATACACAGTATATAGCAGAGTAGTGAACGAAAGTACAGTAATGCGATGATATATTAAATTTAGCAGGACTGAAAACAGCCAGTTGTTCCTTCTTCGAGCCTCACTGGCTTTAATTTGGCCGATAGAGGCTCACCAAGCCTGATCTATTGGCCTAATCTATTAATGCTAAGCTTCATTTACACAATCGGTGCATCCATCCATCCATGCCTCCATCCTTAATCGGCTTTTCCTGCTGAGGGTCACGGTGATGGCACAGCACTATGAAATTTTAAAATGCCCTCCCGGTACATATGTGTGGATTCTGAATACGCCACATAAAGAAGAATGTGCAGAGAAAAAATATTCTGTGGGTGTGCTGCCTCAGTGAGACTCTCACACTCTGATGAATTTATTAGCAAAATTTTAGTACTCCAGCCACTGCAAAAAAAACTCACACCGGTCCATCCAGACTAGTGTGGTGCTGAGGTATCACTCGCTGCATGGCCGCATTCAGGATCTTGTCCCTGAGGTGGTTTATCGTGTGGTGGGTGCAGCTACGCGCTGTAATCAGAGCGCGCTCCTTACCTCTCTCCTTTTACTAAGCACAGCCCATGCAAGGAATAGAAGCCTGCAATAAAAACGTGCTAATTTCAGACAAGGTCATAACAAGAAGGTGAGTAATAGGTTGAGTAGCTTGCCGTTATAAAAATGAATATTATTAAAAAGGAACATTAAGAGTCAGGGATGTCATGTGAGAGGGTTTTCAGTTCTTTGACACTCCGTCCAGCTGTCTTTCATAACTGCTTATTGAGTTCTGAGTTTTGTCGCGTATGCTAGCTAAATAACAGCAATTTAAACGATCGATTTAAAAAATTTTTTTTTTGGCTGTTCAGTTGTGCTTGGCTGTATTTAAACGATTTAAACAATCAATTTAATTTTCTTGGCTGTATTCAGTTGTGACACCCTCAGGGTGTCCTCAGATCAAGCTGAAAGCCTCACGGACATTTAAATTCATTTAACAGATGCTTATTTATGCAGATAATATTTAACACGTGTTATGGCATAAACTCATATCAGGAACCCTATAGACACAGGCATCACCAAAGAGTGTTTCATAATCGAATATGAAACTTATCTTAGTCTAATCGGTGCTTCTCGACTGGTAGGTGGCGCCATTATCAGTGGGTTTTGGAGTGTGGTGGAGTCCCAGTGGTCAAGCTGAGCCCCCGGTCAGCAAATTGCAGGTCCTGAGGCTAAACCCCTTAAGATCCGCTTGTGTCGGGAATCTCCAGTAGGCTGCCAATTTGAATCTCGTAGCTAATCACTATCTGGTTCCACGGCAAGGCCCTTAACCCCCATAAAATACTGCAGGGGTGCTGGAAAAATGGCGGATCCTGCATGCTGAGCCCCCACTTCCCTCTTTCTGTGTCATAGGTTATACACAGATTGAATTTCATTATATAATCATGCACCACATACTGATGTTTTGGTGAACGGACTGCGTTTGTGACGGTGGTCCCTGCGATTATAATGAAGCTGAGAAATTCCTATCGCCTAGTGACATCTAGCTGTCGTGAAGTCATAGCACAACGGATTACTCACGTTTAGAGTGATACTGGTATAAACAAACCTACTGCATTGCCAGTCCTCTAAAAGTGTAGCACATACAATAATCTGCAGTACATAATACTAGATAATGACAATAACTGTTACTGGTTCATGCATTTACTATACCGTACTTTTTACTGTTACTTAGGCTACACCATTTAGCCTAGGTGTGTAGTAGGCGACACCATCTAGGTTTGTGTAAGTACACTCTACGGTAAAATCTCCTAACGATGCTTTTCTCAGAACGTATCCCCGTCCTTAAGCGACACATGATTGTACTTGCTACCTGTACAATGACAATCAGGCACTCGATTATTACTGTATTCTACTGTTACTCCACAATGGAAGTCAACAGTGAGCCGGTAAGGGTCAGTGGTGGGGGGGATGAGGTTACTTCAGGGATCAAACATCCCAGAGGAGATGTTTCTTGAAGGTCATAAAGAACTGGAAAGAGCTTGGAGGTACAAATGCAGTTATGCAGGCCTGCAGACGGCAAAGCCACAAGTAAACCGGAAAAGCGAGAGATGGCAAAAAGAGGAACAGAAATAAGCATCCGTTTTAAGCTTAAGGCGGAATTTTCGAGTTGCTATTGTAGCAGACAGACTGCATATTAACCTTTGCATTAAGCGAAATGCTGTAATTATATTACTGTATGCTCTGCAAAATGTCAGATGCTTCAGCACAGAAATCCAGTTGGATTATTTAACAGGGGTCAGCATCTTAAATGTTTAAACACCTTAGAAAAAAACAATATAATAATCATTTAAAGGAAATAACTCATAGTTCCTGTGCAAATGCGTTTGTGGATATGAGAGCTGGCTGGAGTGTTTTTATTTCTTAATTCAGTTCCTCTGTTGTACAGTGGATGATTTAAAATGGATAACTTGAATTAGGAACAAGCTGTTTTCTATTACTCTGGTTTTAATTAACTTTTTTCCCCCCATTTTAATAGAATTTTAAGCCTTCTGGGAGCTCTATTTTGCATAACCCAGGGGCGATGTTGTAAGTACCCCCCCGTTTTCAGTGATGGGTTTGAACGTTTGTGCGTGCAACGTTACATTTGGAATTTTGCGGGTGTTATGTATAATCATTAGGTGTATAGTCATTAGCGAGGCCCAGTGACAACCTCTAAGCTTCTTATGGAGTCGTCCGGGATACAGAAACGCAAATAACACCTGAACATTCCCCCAATCAGCGAGATCGGCAACACTAAGTTTGAGGTCAGCCACGTGCACATGGTGGAGTGCGTCGTCCCCTGGCTTAACGACACCCTGGTCTTCCTCACCATCTCCCTGCAGCTCTGCCAGCAGCTGAAAGACAAGGTGGGTGTGGCCTAACCCTTTGATTGACTGCTTTGTTGCTCTCTTGCTCTCTCTCTCCCTTTCTGAAGCTTTTGAGCATGGCTGCCTTTTGCTAACACACTTGTTACCCGTGGGCTGTTTCGAAAATTATACAGATGGGGAAAAATACTCCAAATTCAAATTTGGACTTTGCTGCATATCTAAAAATATCTGCGACTTGGCCTGTGTACGTGTAAAACGCACAGGCTTGCACAGCGCTTTTTTCTTCCTCCGCCGATTGTAAATAAATGCTGAATCGCTGCGCTTCTGATTCAGCAAGTGCCCTTAAACCATGAAACTGCAGTCTGCCTGTAGCAAGTGGACCTCCTTCCCTCATCCTGTGGTGCTCTCAGATTTCCGTCTTCTCCAGCTACTGGAACTACAGACCATTCTAGCCGCCTCAGCGTCCAGCCAGAGGTCGAAGGAGGGCGCAGGGTTCCGGGCTCCTGGATATCGGGGCGGATCTCGTCCGCAGCACCACCATGCATTGGCCCATACTGTTCCCGTTCCGGCCCAGTTCTCTGCAGGCGCTGGCTTTTGACAGGACCTATGTTTTCAAGACTCCTGAAGGCTACCTGGTTTTAAAAACATGTATTTTTCTTAGTTTTAGCACCCTGTACAGTACATATTCACTTGCATGGTGGGTGTTGAGTTCAGTCTCGTCTCGTCTGGGGAATTTTTATTTTTTCCTAGGCAATGGATTGGTAGTTCTGGCAATGTTTGAGTAAGATGATTCAAAACACTACTTTTTGATGAATAACATATGGTATGGTAATACTACTTGGATTAGTGTCTGCTTGTGTATATATCCTGACCACCGTTTAGCTCGGCTGCCCAGACCTCCTGAAAGCCAGAAATGGTTCTCGTGGTAACGCAGACATTTTGCTGAGGAGTGTATGCGTAATGTGTAACAGCGCCTGAGGGGAAAAACATTAAATGCTAAAGTGAGGGACCAAATATCAGCACAGAGGAAATTTGGGTGATTTGATGATCACCAATAAGCAATCAGTGTGGCGTTTCGTGTACATGTGTAATAGTCACTATTAATTTATTGAACTGAATATTTCTGCTTTCTGATACGCATGTTGTCGAATTCGCAGCGGTGAGTTTAACTACAGTTGTTAAGCTAACCTCTCTATAAATTGAACTATATACTGTGCACTATATCAACCGTTACATATGTAATAAAGTGAATTTTCTAAAACACACAATGTCAGACCACTCTATGGGGTCCTCTGCTTTTTCTCGTGTGTTGGATAGGGATGGTCAGAGGAGACCTAATGCTTATCCCAGAAATTGTCACTCTTCATAACACAGTAACAGAGAAACGCATAAGAAGAAACAGCTTAAGCCCACTTACAGCACCTCCCATGGTGTAGGGGTCTTAGAGCATCCACTTAATGTCTGATTTCTTTTTGCTGAAACGATTCGCTACACTTAATCTCTGATACACATGCATGAGTTTAAATCTGTAAACGTCTAAGTGTGATACGGGCTTCCTTCACCACTGCACGCTCTGCCAGGTTTAAAGCATTCACTGTTATCCTCTGCAATTAATACGATCTAAGACTCTCCTCTTCAAAGCCTGTTTAAAGGGGCTGTATCCCTGCTCACCCCCAAATGCCACAGATCAGCTCCTATATGGCTAATCTGAGACCACAGATTCGTTTCCAAATAACACCCCAGGGCCAAAATAACCTCAGAACTGGATGCTACACAACAGTGCTTGAAAATACAAGCTGAAAAACTCGCATGGTAATGAAACTGAAATTGGCCGAGGTCTTCCTGTGAATAATGGCCAAATAATGTTCTATGGCCTGCTCCTTTGGATGTTTTCGCTGGATGGCAGTCTCCGTCCATTTTATCACACAGACCATCTGCGATGCGGGAAGATCAATGTCCTGTAAAGCTGTGGACAGTCTCATTTTAATTACCCAGCCTGTGATATATGTGCCATACTTACTTATATATAAATAACATGGAGGGAAAAACAGCAGTCAGTCGTTTTCCTTGCTACAGTGGCAGTCTCGCTCTCTTGCATGATTTATGCGAAAAGGCTGGCCGGCTCACCTTTCCTTATGTATTTCGTGCAGTTTATGACCACTGATACTGAGCATATTCCTTGGATATGGGCCACGTATATGAGAATGGGCAAGAAGAAAATGAAAGTTACTGCAAACCATTACTGGGAGGATAAAAGAAGAATGTTAGTCAAAAGGTATAAATAAGTCCATGACCACATCATGATTGTGCCATTTTGTTTAAATACAAAGATATTGAAATAAGTACAAAGAAGCAAATTTACAGACATTAAATACACATTTATGGCCTGAAGACTGATTACACAGACTGATTAATCGTCCTTAAATTTCAGTGGCAGCGTTTCAGTGGAGCTTGCTGGATCTGTCACCCACCGACACCCTATCCTCCATATCAGTGCAGGACAGCCTCGCCCGATTACCCTCCACTGATGTTTACAAGCATTGAAAGATATTCTATACCTGATATTCTATACCTGATATTCTATATACTGTATGTGATGCCTAAATGTCAGCGCCCAAATGTTTGACATTCCTGGTAAAAAGAGGTTCCACTTACATTAAAGCCACATAAGATTAGATGTAGAATCTCCTCCATATTTACAATACTACTTAAATTAGAACAAACTGATTTGAGTATTATGGTTCCTTTTTGGTACTTCTACAGTACCATGAAGAAGGCTCAGGCAGTCAAAGAAAACGTTTTAAGGCTATTTGTCTGGGTTTTTAGTGTATATTTACTCAGGAAAAAAAACAACTTAACCTTAGAACATATGGAAAATAACAGTAACACAATAAAAAAAAGACAATTTCTTCTGTTCTCCAAAAAGTTACCAATATCTTGCAGGATGGCTAGACGAACACCGCTTCAGTTCCCAAACCTCTCCTCAGCCTCACCTAAATGTCACCACCAGCTCGATTAATTAAATTAATTGTGTGTGGTATTGATTAGCCAAAGAAGATGAGCAGTGGTCGAGTCAAAAAATAAATGGCCGTACTGCATGGTTGCTGCAAATACTGTGGTGACTTTAGGAGGAGGCTGAAATGGCTAAGCTGACACACTCCAACAGACATAATATCATAGTTTTACACCAACATGAAGATCATTCAGACATGTTCTCTGACTGCCCGAGACGTGTGCACAGTACTGTATATATTCTAATGTACAGACTAGTATGCCTTCATTGAAATGGGCAGAATCAAAGTTTTGGTTAAGCTGATTTTCTGCATGGTATTTGCTGCCCCCCACCCCCTGCAGAAATAGCAGTCAGTCTTCTGATGGTCCCCGGCTCTGCCTATGGCTCCAGTGCCATGTTTTCAATCCCCACCTTTTGCCTGCGAGGCTATTAACAAAGGAGGAAAACAATCTTAAAAACTCATATACCTCACGACTGAAATTAAAAAGTAATTACAGAATAGCTCACAAGTTTGTTTTATTGATTTACAGTCAACATGAAGTCATATGAGGCATCTCAGAGACGATAAACAATGGAGAGCTCGATTAGATTACAGAGGTATTTACAAAGTAGAAGGAAAAGAAATGTTGCTTTTCATTGTTTCTTTTAAAGTAGTACAACTGGGAGATGGATAACCACCACCCTTGCTAACTTTATATACTGGGCTTATTGTCGTACCTTTTCCATCGCGTCGCAGCAGCAGCAGCAGCAAAAGCGAACAAGAACCAGTATTACGAGCAGAAGGACCACACCTTGTAGAAAAAAGGAATACATGGATGTGGGATTGCTGCTCTTTTACAAATCAGGACACTATTCTCATTTCTAATTTTTGACAGTGGGTGGGTGGGAGGATGATCACTAATTTGCATATGCTTTTAAAAAGTACTTACTCCCACATCTGTGAGTAAAGTTCGCTGGGGGGGGGTGTTGGTTTTCAGGTCGCTGCGCTCGATAAAATCGCCAAGGCAGCCGCTTGCCGCATACTGGACTTTTAATTAACAGCGGAACATCACATCAGAGGAGAGGGGCTTTAATTGAAAGGGGTAGCCCATTAGCGTGATCCACAGAGGCCATCTAAACAAGCCGGGGGAGGAGGAGCCGATCCGCGGGAAATGGGGCTCATTAACGCGCGGCACGTATTCCGCGGAAACCGGCTGCAGAAGTTTGCATTTGCAATTTCGTGATAATATAATAAGGTTATATGGTTACAGGCACAATATACCCCTGACCTATCACACAGTAAACAATCAGAACAGAAACAACAGGGATTCAGCACCGCAGCTGAGTTGGATCCCTAATATATTTTACAGGAACCGTTTCACTTCTCGTAACCTGGGTGATATATTTTGCGTCAGCTCACGCCTACTGTCACTCGCCGGACCAACTTTGCATCTGCTTATTACATAAGCTCCCCTTCAGGATACAGGAAGCCCTGCTTTCCCCTTCAAACCTTTGGCTTCAAACAGGGCTGGACTGGGATTAAATATCAGCCATGGACTATGGAGCCCCCACCACTTTTGATTAATTTTGCCAACTGGGGGGGCATGGTTTGAGGTGCCCTACATAGGCCCTACGGCTACCGGGAAAATGCTCAGCATGATGGCCTCCCCTTCCAGTCTTGGAGAGCTACTGTCCAGTGGATTTTCTATCCTACCTGGCTTCTGATGAGCCACCCCTGCTCTCAGGTAAATGCCAGGGACAGGTGTGGTTCAGAAGCCAGGTAGGATGGAAAACCTACTGGATAGTAACTCTCCAGGACTGTAATTGGAGACCGCTGATTTAGATGATGTTAACTCTACTGAATGTATACATTTTCTTACCTATGAAGATGAAAAACACGGCAAAAGCAGCAATGTCCCAGTCTGACTGAAAGAGCTGTTTGGAACTCAGCCGGGAAATAACATCATTGACTTGGTTCTGCAGGTCATTCCTCAGATCCATGGTAATTAAGTTCAGAGACTGGGAAATACAGGAGGTGATTAGCGTCATTATAATGTTTTCCATTTAAACTTAAAGGCTGTCCTCGACAACCGAGTCAGAATATCATATCTATCTGTTCAACAGCTGCGTAAAGTAAACAAACCCTATACTCCTTAATGTCGATTCGTTTAATGAAAAAGTAAATATTTATTGTTGTTAGAACCATGATTTGTAGAGTTAGCTATAATGCATCTTGAGTCAATTATGATATTTAAACAACTTAAACGTTTCACCTGCTCGTAAAAGCCTGCTTAGGCTGGATCCAGGAAATAAATCCGGAGTAAACAGTAATAAAGGCGGAAAAGCGACGACACCAGATATGTGCGATTTCTCTCAATTTAAGAAGCACAGTACACAATTTCTATATTTGTAATAAATATATGTGCTATAAAATCCATACAAAAACGTTTATAGAGTCTAGTTCGTAATAATAATAGTGATACTAAATCTACGTAAAAGTACGGAAGATTTCGGTACGACAGGTACGTGTCGCGTCGAATGAAAGTTCTCGTATTTGTCAAGAGTACTATAATGTTGGATATGACATGTTTTTAGTTATTTTATGTCGTGTTGCAGAGCTGATTTAAGCTTAATATGTTTGGTATGGTACAGTTCACTCACCCGCGTCTCGATTGACGTTAATTTCCGCCTGTGTCGCAGCGCGATACTGTACCTGGCGCAGGTGGCGTTTCTGCGGGACGTGAGCATGTGTTCATGGGTTCGGGAAGGTCCAGCAACGCTTCCTGTATGCTTAGAATAAGAAGAAAACACACACAAAAAAACAAGAATCGCTTTACAATGAGATCGTACTGCGATTGTCTGTCTCCTCTTCGTATTGTAACGTTAGGTGCGCATTTATTTATTTGTTTATTGTCCAGTTTGGCGTCATTTCTTTGGTATTGTGTATTGTCTGGAATTTACACGCAAAAAGCACATAAGATCGTCTTTAATATTGGATTAAAGTGGTTGTAGCTTTTTCATTTTAAATCAACCCTCAGTGATGGATCCCAAACGAACGTCCTGTACAACAGTTTAATTTACGGTATTTTAATCACCTAATAAGTATGCTATGCGAAATGTTGAATAAAGTGGTATGCTGTGTTTGGGATTTTAATGCTTCCAGCACTATACTGAAGCACACATGGTACTGCGTATACCCATGCTACTTAGTTGATTTTTTTTTTTACATGATTCTTATATACTACTAACAAAATAAACAAGATATCATGCTGGACAGCTTGCTCAGAGACGTACCCGGTGTCTGTTGTGTGTCTCAGATGTAGTTTTTGATGTGCGTCCTGGCACAAATTGTGCTCTCACTAAAATACGAATGAATATCTTGCCACAGAAACCTTTGGAGATCACTGTCCTGCACTGCATTACCAAACACCCTTCATGGGAACAGCTGCAGTACTGGCTTAGCAAAATACACATAGAGGAAAGCAGAGAACTAGACCGGCTTTCAGCACTCAGAATTCCAAAATGTGAGTGATTATCCCTCTTCAGCACTTCAACAGTGATGCGGATTAGAAAAACAAACAGGAGGACACACACTGCACTGCAGGTAGGTCACTAATGACAGCTGTGGCCCCAAATGGGGCATCGCATACCAAAGAACTGGGAAGGAGAGTAACAAAATAAGCACAGTATAGCTGATGCATCCAGCATAGCTGATGACTACAGAATATTTTCACTGTTAGATTCTTGTGCTTCAGTGGAATCAAAGTCAGATAGCAACATCAGATTATGAAGGCCATCTGTTGTTATGGAGAGACATGGTGGACCGCTGGCTACCAGGGGATTATCAGCGGGTTTAGACGCCATCTCCGCTGCTGCTGGTGAATAGACATGCACCTCTTTTGGAAAGGTAAAGCTGTCGAGGGATGCCAAGGATTTATTAAACTGGATTTCTTTACTTGCCTATCTGTACAATTTTATACCTTAGTGGGGCAATCCACCAATTCACGGATGATGCTAATGCACAAAGCGGGGATATGCCTGAAGTAATACCAGAATCCTTTGAGTATATATCTTAAAACTCTACACAACACACTGCATAAGAAATGACTCATTATTATATATCCTTTGGCATCTGACAATTTTGCAATTCTTATACACAGAGTAAAACCAGCAGTGTTAGACTGGCAATAAATTGAGTCAAATTGTTATTATACAGCAGATTTTGCAGTGTAATAACAAAACTGAAAGTAACAATAATGGCCAAGATGATAATACAGCAGTAACAAAATCACACTTCAATAATGCATCTCTTTTATGTTCATTACTGGATGAATGCAATTTCCTTCAGCTCAGGGGTTCTGGGCTTGTGCTTGCATTTTTATGGTTACATAGTATTGAACAGATTTCGCTTTATGCTGGGAAAGAATTGCTATCATAAACCGTGTCTGGAACACAGCTTGAAGCAGCATTAAGGGGTGCAAGTATAGTCCAAGTGTGAATTTCAGCCCTGGAGCTTTTGTTATAAAGCGTGCTTGGTAGAGTTTTATGACAGCACATCTCTCATCTTTTATGAGAACATGCTGCTCTCTGCAGAGAGCGGTGTGCTATGAAATGCTGCCACATGATTCTGCTACCTTAGCCAGACCAGCCCTCCGTGTAATGGCTGCAAACAGCAGCAGGCAGACTCTGTCTGAGGCTCCCTCGCACCTTCAAGGGTCGGAATCTAGGCTAATCATCACTGACACTGCGCTAGGGAAGGAGTCAGGAATAGCATGCTAACATATCCGGTAATGATGGCTGTCTCGTGACCTGGATAGCGACTCCAACACTCTGATGACTTCGTTAGAAGAGCCTCAGAATAGTCAAATTCTCATTTTTTACCTCAGATTTGGAGATGATGAGAACAGTAGTGAAACGCATTGGGAGTCAAATGGAACATTCCGAGGAACATTTTCTAGTTGCTTTGTGTTTTATCCTTAAACTGATACATTTGATGATTCAAGAGTACTGGTACTTTGTCTCATTATGGGACAGTGGACAGAATATTTATGTCCTGCTTACTTGCAGAGTCCATCACTGAACTATGGGTCCTACTTCTCCCATATTATAAGTTTTTCCAATATTATAAATTAGATGTTGATTGAAAGGCTATCTCTTGACTGTGTGCATAGTGATGTTAAGCTCTGTTATGTGCAGCATGGACTCAATTCTCTAACTTCAGCTGTGGAGCGTTGAGTTCATAACATCTGGGGTTTTATTTATTGGTCATGCATATGAATGGTTTTGTGCATAAACTATGCATACACATATTTTTTACTTATTGAATGGTATTAAAAAAATTCTTTCAGTATGCAAAAAGTGCAAATATTCTAAAACATGGATGGGCACAATCCCCTAACAGGAAAGAAGCGTAACTCGAGCAAACTGATTGTCCCATAGGATATGCACAGGCTTCCATTTAAGCATTGACCCCCCAACGATGATTGACAGGTTTAACATGGACGTGCTGTTTGTAATACAATGTTTAATACAATGTATGTGAACAGCCTAGACGATAAGTTTTAGGGAATTAATCTATGTGTTTTAACATAAATTTAGAAGCAGCGGCTGGACCTGTCAATCATCGTTGGGGTGGGGGCATGCAGCTGGACCTGTCGATCATTGTTGGGGTGGGGGCATGCAGCTGGACCTGTCAATCGCTGGTGATGATGTCATAGACGGAGCCCTCATTTAAGCTCCGCCCAAAGTGCCACATAACCTTTTTTACTGATCCAAAAATAGCAAGTTCTGGTGCTGGTTTTAGAGACAGAGATAACAATTACGGATATCCAATACATAATCATATAGCAACATAACATCCTTGTTCCTGAAATGTATAAACTGCTGTCTGCCCTTGTCCCCTACTGAGTGTTCTACATAGTGAACACTATATAGTGAGTGACTGAGTGAGTGAACAAGTGGATAACACAGCCCTAATTACCCCAGAGACTGGATGACCCTGCTTTGTCAAAAATGGTTGCAACTTTAGATAAAAGCATCTGCTATTGAAGTTAAATGTAATTTGTCTTGCGATAATGCAAGACTCCGTGTTTGCCTGCATGCAGATATTGCAGATTAAAATCCAGTTTTGACACATGCTTACCACTCATTCCTCGTCAGCTGTCTCACTGCGCTTCTCCGTGTTATTGTTCATTTTTCAGATGAGATCTTATATACGTTTTGGACTTTTTAAGATGTTTTCCACCACTATATGAACAATTCAAAACATCTGCAAAAGTAGTTGATCTGTGGAGGCAGATTGATCATATTTATTGATTGGATGTAATGGATGGTGTATGAATAACTTGTGTGTGCACGTTGTATTGCTGGAGTTTGGAAAATCGAATTGGTAGCTGCTGCGGGTTGAGAATGTTCATGTGTGGCTCAGGCTTTGATTTCAAAGTTTTCTCAGGCGCAGCCCGTGGGAAGCACCTTGGGAATGCAGCAGGACTGAGGAGCGTTCATGCTGATATGCCTTTCAGAGGTTTTTCTCTTTACAAGGTTTTGGTTGTGGAGATAGATGTAAGTACCACAAAACAGCTCCTACCACCGAAAGCAATTTGCCAGGCACGGTGTACTCAAACTTATCTTGATTAGAATTGAGCAAATCATTTTGAAAAATGATTGAATTTTAGAGGGGGCTTTGTGGACGGCCCAGCAGGTAAATGTAGATATATCTGAGTATGGACCATTAACTGAAATGCCATTGTTTGTTCTCTGGAAGCCCAAAGGACTATTCTGTTCTATCCTATTCTTGATAAATGTAAACAGTAATATCCTGTGGTAGTATATCTGTTAGAATATATCTGTGATGTTCACATGTGAAATGTATGTTTCACTAGATGGTAGTGAATATGGTCTGCAGCTCTTCTGAACAAAGTGCAAGAGGTTTTTTGATGAAATGTGCACCATATTATGCAGTGTGAAATGAGACAGAAAACTGCCTTAAAATCTGCAAGAAATGCATGGAGATACTGAATAGTGTGTCTAAAATTATTTTGACTGAAATTTTGTTGCATTTGTTCTCCTCATGCCTCAGAGTTGCATATATAAAAGCGTACCATCCTCTATTTTTGTGCAAATCAGTCTGTGCACATTTCCCTGTCATGGGAAGGAGCTTGGAAGCAGTTTAGTGGGGGAGTGTAGATAAGTCTGCACTTCAGAGTAGAAGGTGCAAATGTTGACAGAGTGATGCAGGCCACTGGTTTTTAATCAGGGTTTTGGTTCAAGCGTATTGCCCAATGAAAAGAGGAGCATTCCAGTGAGCTCAGATATACACACACGAAAGAGCTTATGTGATTGGCTGAAAACCACCTAATGTTATTGGATGAAAACCTCATGATGTCATTGGTTAAAACCCACATGGTATTCTGATGACAGAACATTATGGGCTGATATTTGTACAATATTTTGTATATTTGAATCTGCAGTTATCCGCGTTACAAAACTGAATCTGAATTTAATAGTTTGAATCTGAATTCCAGTAACTCGAAATAGCATTTATCCTACCTCGAAAAATTCATTTTGCGAGTTCAATTTCAATCTAGTGTGACACACCTAACTCGAGATAGCATTTACCCAACCTCAAAAAATTAAGTTCGCAAATTCAATTTCAATCTAGTGTGACAAACATCCGGGTCCTTGAGAAAAAGTAATCGACCGCAGATTCACAACGCAACTCATTTCCACGTTTACGACAGTTCTGCATAACAATAACTTGTTAGAAATTAAATTCATAAATGTAAGCAATGAGTCACTCTGATGAAGACACCAAATACACTAAAAACCTAGTCATTTCCGTGTGGACGCTGGGTCGGCCATCTCTCCCTCTCTCCTGACTTCTTCCCTGTCTACCAGAGCAATACGGTGTTAGGAAGATGCATCACATCATTTTACTCTGAGTAGTCAACACTTAGGTACATCATGTCAGTGATCAAAATGACTGAATTTTTGTACTTGTTAATCTGTGTGTATTTGTTGTGATGACAGCACCTGGGAGTCTCTTGAGCAGTTTGGGCACTGGGCCCCACAGGGCCAGGGAAAGGTGTCATACTGGTCAGTAAGTTTAGGAGGTGTCTGGCTGACCTGACAACTTCTGAGTTGTTTCCCTGTCAACGTATAACAATGGAACAGTAGGTTAGCACAGCTACACAAGTCATTATATACGGAGCACCGTCACTTCTATATTTAAATTTTTATCGTACTGCCACTTCTCTGCTACTCAGAGACAAGCGTCACGCGAGAGTGGCGGGGCACCGCGCGCAGTACCGTCAGTGTTGTTGAGGCGCTTCTGTTGTTACCAACACCCTCGCCGCCGTTCTCACGGTCAATACAGTTGCGACACTTTTATTTCTTCACTTAGAGCACTGCCTATACAGATCACCATATTAAACGCCAGTCCAACTGATGCTCCCGGTTATTGGCACAGCACACAGAGTGCGCTGTAGACACGCAGCAGACCAGAAGCATAGCACCTCAAACCCGCTTTATAACTTCACATTTAGATCGATACAGGGGGTATGTGTATCGGTGCACTCGCATGTTAGAAATTAATACTGACTTACGCCTAATTTCGGCGAGATAAATATTTTAGAAGATATTTAGCATGAACACTGCTAGAAAGCCACATGAGATGAACTTGAACTAAACTAGAAGTAAAATTCATATCCCTATAGCTAGTCTACCATATTAACATAACGTAGCAGTGCCAGAAATATTTCATTTAACCACATATACTACCATATACTAACCAGACCTACGGTTAATGTTTATACTATCGCCTGTGTACCTAAAGCTTATTCTCTTATGTATCATAAGGTAATGACAAACCTGCGAATCCAACATTTGTTCTTCAGACATCCCGGCACGCCTCCACTTTACCCGCCCTGCAGAACTGCCGTAAACGTGGAAATAAGTCGCGTTGTGAATCTGCGGTCGATTACTTTTCCTCAAGGACCCGGATGTGTGTCACACTAGATTGAAATTGAATTTGCCAACTGAATTTTTCGAGGTAGGATAAATGCTATTTCGAGTTACTGGAATTCAGATTCAAACTATTAAATTCAGATTCAGTTTTGTAATGTGGATAACTGCAGATTCAAATATACAAAATTCATATTCAGTTTCTAGTGGCACAAATATCAGCCCATAAGATGGGCCTCAGGGATACATAATTATTTATTACTGTTAGACATTCTCATCTTATCACTGCTTAGTTTGAAACATTTAACAGGTGGTCAAAGTAACCCTGGAAAAGACTCACCTTCAGCAGATGCATCCCTGTGAGCAAAATGCTCCCAGTTATTCTTTGCTTAAAATATAGTGAAGTAATAATTGATTCATGCAAAATTTTTGCAGAGCACATTAAATAAGGTAGTGATACATTCATCCACCTTCCAAACGCTTATTTTGGTAAGGGTTGTGGGGCGAGGGTGGGGGGGCATTTCCAGGTACCACAGGACACCGGGCTGGGGACACCTTGGATGGGATACCAGTCCATCACAGTACACAGAGCTGGGGACACCCTGGATGGGATACCAGTCCATCACAGTACACAGAGCTGGGGACACCCTGGNCACAGAGCTGGGGACACCCTGGATGGGATACCAGTCCATCACAGTACACAGAGCTGGGGACACCCTGGATGGGATACCAGTCCATCACAGTACACCGGGCTGGGGACACCCTGGATGGGATACCAGTCCATCACAGTACACCGGACTGGGGACACCCTGGATGGGATACCAGTCCATCACACCACACAGGGCTGGGGACACCCTGGATGGGATGCCAGTCCATCACAGTACACCGGGCTGGGGACACCCTGGATGGGATACCAGTCCATCACAGCACACAGAGCTGGGGACACCCTGGATGAGATACCAGTCCATCACAGCACACAGAGCTGGGGACACCCTGGATGGGATACCAGTTCATCACAAGGCTAGGGATACGCCGGATGGGATATCTGTGCATCACTGGGCTGGGGGACACCATGGCTGGAATGCCAGTGCATCACAGGACACAATAAGATACAACATCTTACACTATGGGCAATTTAGAGATGCCAATAAGTCTAACTGCATGTATTTGGATTGTGGGAGGGATCCCATGTGACAAGGGGGAATCCCACACACTCCACACCCAGTGGAACTGAATTAAAAGCTCTTTCTGTATAAGAAGTTGCCAATATATTCTGGGTCAGGTGGTAATTTTCCTGTCAGATATCCATACATTCAATACAACATGACACTTGTAGAGGACATTTCTGGAGCGATACCACATTGCTGGGATGTTAACCAATAGCCTTCAGGTTACTGGGGTGTTATCCTAAACTGCACAAAGACTAAACCAGCCATAGAGGAAAGGCAGGTGCCAAGAATGTAAACCATGCATGCTGGCACTGTTGTACTGGTTCATCTTATCCAATGAATGATCTTTCTCTGCCTGTTCTGCCTAACCAGACCGGTACAGGCAGCTAAGCAGCCAGACAAAGGCGAACCGTCGGCAAAGGTTACCATCTCAGGTTCCAGACACAATGATCTCAGGTTCCAGCAATAATCCAGAATCGAAGGCGATGAGGGGGTTGGACCTGTGGTTAGAAATGTTAGGCAAAGGATGCCAAGCAGGACTCGCACACAGGGAAAACGGCAGAAAGGTTCGGACAAGACCAACCAATAAGGAAGCATGTGCGCTTCTTGTCTGCCATCTTCCTCAGAGGCATCACTGTGTTTGTCTGTGTGGCAAGTCGTAACAAGTATAGCTAATA